AGGATAGGACTAGGTCACGATTTTCGACGAAAACCATAACCGATACAAGTTGGATATGAAGCACTTCGACTAGATATTTGACCGGAATAGATGACAAATAGATGGTTTTTGTAACTTTTGTGTTTTTTTTTTTGATCTTTCGTTGGAGTTTAAAGACATTCAGATTTCTCACATTGATTCCGTGCATCTGGTACCTGCGACGATCAACACTGCACAACGAAGCTTCACTAAAGCGCACAACGAAGCTTCTCCAAGCCTGCTGCTTGGGCAATGTCATGAAAAATCAAAACGCAAAACATTTTTTGCATGACACATCAGAACGGCATGCGTTATGCTTTGCGCTACACTCCAGTAGCATGGTCGCGTTGCAAATTCCAAACACGTCTTTATTTTTGCACTCCATAGACTGGACTTGGGGCACACGCGCAAGAAATGAAGTAGGTCGGCAAAATCGTGCATCGACTGCCAGGCGAGCTGTATTAAATAAAGTGCCATCATATCATGATGAGTAGCCGTGACCGGCGGTACTGCAAAGTAGTTGTAAGTAAAAGAAAATGGAACCCACAAAATAAAAGCCTGAGCAGCACTACCTAGTATCAAACTATTCGAATCTCGTAAGAAGATCTCCAACTCGTCCGCGGACGGTGGCAGCTAAAGAAAAAAGAAAAAAGAAGAAAACTGTACCAAATCCCCCAACTTGTCCAAACTCTCTTCCGCCCCGTGCCGGCAAGCGTGGAGGTGCTTCTCCAATTCTCAAACAGAAAACCTGCGCAACCTGCGAAACAGCATGATTGCTATTCACGATTGATAGCCGTTTTGAAGGGTTTCATGCTGTACATTCCCTTTTTCTGACATTAGGTCGGTGCAAAAACACAAAATTGATACATGATGACGATCGCAATCACCAGGCTGCGTAGTGCCAAAAGTTTCTTTTGGTACTACGCAGCGCCATGCTGTTTGAGCGCCATGCGTGTTGTTCATTTCATATCAATGCCTTCAACGTGTGCAGTTTGAAGACATTGTTTTCAACATTTTTTAAGTCCACCTTCGGTTCAACAAGGTTCTTGGAAGAACCACCTCGTTGATTTTGAAAAAAAGTTGTGTCTGCTTTCAGGATAGGACTAGGTCACGATTTTCGACGAAAACCATAACCACATTACATTAACTAGCAAAATTTCGACACTTTGAGCAATATGCATTATGACAATATGACAATATGACATTATGACTGCTGGATTTTGAGCAAAATGACCGGAAGGTGTCGAGTGTCGGAACCCGGAAGCGGACCTGTGTTGTTTTTTGGAATGAAGATAAAAAATGTTCCTACAAAACGGCTCACGATACGAGCGCACTTCATGCATGTTTCCTGTGCTCTATGAACTTTTGTGTCGCCCCCGCGTGGTCGTCCTGCAGACCGGTAAGCATCACGCCGAGCGGGTGCCATTATGCGTCGAAAGTTAATATGTCCGAGCCTGGAAGAGTGTATTTGTGCACTTGGTGCGGATTCTGGAATGACTGAAATCTGTGATGCGTTGTCAGCTCTGCATGTGCTGTTTTTGTCTCCAGGAGAGGTCATTTCCCGCCCACGCTAGGCACTAGGAAACACCAACCGAGTCTCTTCAATGCTTTTCATGCATGAAAGAGGACCTGTGTGCACATGCAGCATCAGAAATCACATGGCGAACGTTTGCTCTCTTCCAGGAGACCCAGACATATTAATTTGCACTTGATACCTCCCTCCCTCCCGTTGCAAAAATATCGCGCCCATTCCAAACAAAATAAAAGGAAGACCACAATCCAACACCGCAGCGCAAATCTTCATGTTGCTTTCTCATCGCGCAAATCTTCACTCATATTGTTAGTTTGACTTCTCATCGTTTTTGGCCTGGAATTCTGAAAGCGCCCAAGCATCCGATGCGCTCGAGAAAATTCTGCTTCTTTCAGCAAAGTGGGTTCGCTTGTTGTTTAGAAACGTAGAGACCTACAAACCAAGGGCTTTGCCTGGTTTGCACACTGAGACTTTCAGAACTAGCGCCTCGACTACAAATTGTTTGTTGATTTTCAAAAAATGCTTGTGCTAGAACCTTGAAAAAATAGTGCGTGGAGTCATGTTGACTCTGGGCCCTATATAAATCTCAACAAGACGAAGATAGGAAAAGGCCCAGAAAATAAAAACTCACTATGGGATCGGCATTCAGACCAGATTTAGTTTTGCTTCCAACTACGTTTATTTATATTTATAAAATCCCCTCGAAGCGGAGCGGCCTTCTCACAACCTCTCACCCTTCAGCCGAACTTCTTTCCATCAGCATCCCGGTCGCCCTCTTCGGATTCGGACTCCTCGACCCGCCGAATCTTATTCCCGTCGACCTGCACGTTCCTTACGACCCTAACCCTTTTTTTTGAACCGCCGCCAGCTGTGGCGCCGCCAGTGGGTCCTCCGGTCACGTGGCCGGCGGCTGCAACCTCCGCGCCGCGACCTGATTCAGAGGGTTATGTATCTTGCTGCACGTATCTGACTGCAACACTACCCGCAGAGGATAGGACTAGGTCACGATTTTCGACGAAAACCATAACCGATACAAGGACGATTTCAACTATTGGTAGCTTGTTTCACCGTCGACAAGAATCTATTTGTGCTCATCATGGCCATTCAAAAAAAAACAACTGCTCCTAGCATTTCTTGATCAATTATCTTTACTCTGGATGCAATCAAAGGACCGTCTCCTACGCCGCCTTGCTTCCGGCTCCGAACGCCGATTTGCTCCCACCACCAAACGCCGCCTTTCCCCCTCCAAAAGCCGACTTACTCCCGCCGCCAAACGCCGCACTGCCGCCGCCAAACGCCGACTTACTGCCCGCCCCACCGCCGAACGCCGCACTGCCGCCGCCAAAGCCCGCTTTGCTGCCGCCTTGAAACGCGGAGGAGCCACCGCCGAATATTGTGACGAAAAATTTCCCCTCCCCATATTGAAAGCGCCTCCGTCCGAAAATTTGTGATGCAGATTTGTGGCCACAAATCCTGTCTGTCTTGCAAGGAGGCAAAGGCAGAGAGTCCGCCGCATTATGCAGGCGGTTTGTGATGCTGTTGGGCTTACAGCATAGACATTCGTCATGCTAGTCGCCTACAGCAAAACCTCTCGCCTCAGGCTTGGCATATGCCGGCAGTACTCTCCAGCAAGACAGACCTGATTTGTGTACGCAAATCCAGCATGGGAAACCTCGTTTCGATATGGGGAGGGAGGATTTTTCCCTTTGATACCGAACGCGGGTGCTCCGCCTCTGTCCGACCTTGCACTGTTCGGCGGCTCGGGCGCTGCTTTCGCCTCAAACCCGCCGGCGCCCTCGCCTTCTTGCGCTTCCACCGCTTCTTGGGCAGCCTTAATTTGCGCGATCCGCTTCGCTATGCATTGCAAATATCATCTCTGGGTCTGGAAGAGTTCGAATTTGTGATGCGCAGGCTACATCATGGCAAAATCTGTCATGCATGGCTAGCAAAAGGCCGCAGTTTCTTGTTACCGAAAGAAGGGATTTGTAATGCGGATTAGGCATTGGGGTACTACCTGCTCAGAATCTGTGATGCTAGAGCTTGCATGCCAGACGATCTGGGTCGGGCAAAAACTGCATGACAGATCTCGCATTCTTACAGACCCCAAGAACATATTTGCATTCGATATCCGCCTCCTCCCGTTTCCGTTCGAGTTCCTCCTTTCTCAACGCTCTCCTGTGCAAAAGCATCGTCTTTAACTTGTATTGCAAACATGCATCACATCAGAAAAAAAAATTCCAATTTTGTTAAGGTAAAAACGCACGCCGTTCGTGCTAATTCGAGTCATTTTAGTGCAAAACTGGTCTTGTTAAGTCAAAAACAACAAAAACGACGGAAAAGCGCACGGCGGGGCCACTTAGTTAAGCGCTAAAATTGCCCCCATGTGCGAAAATGCGACAAAAAAACGAAAAAAGTCGCGAACTGATGAAAGTAACGACGTAAGTGCGCATAAGGGCACATTCGCAAAGAGCTGCGAAATTCGAAAAAAAGTGCCAACTTTCTTAAGGTACAAACGCACCTTTTTGGTGCTAATTCGACTCATTTCACTGCAGAACAGGCCTTGTTAAGTCAAAAAGAACGAAATAAACGGAAAAGCGCACGGCGGGGCCACCTAGTTAAGCCTAAAAATTGCGCAAATTTGCCAAAATGCAAAAACTAAGGCGGAAAGGGCGCAAATTTCTTAAAATAAGCACAAAAGTGCGCCACTTTGCGCATTCTCCAAAAATGCGCAAAATCGCAACAAGGCGCGCGCCTATGATTTTGCAGCGGTTCGCAGCGCGTTGGCGCTGTCGCACCCGTAGAGCTAACTCCCGACAGTTTGGTCGTACTTAGGACCACAATGCGCCAAAAGAGCTCCCATCAGCTCAAAAAGGTGCGCAAATGCACCAACAGACGCAAACTAAAGCAAAAACGGTCGCAAAGCCATCGAAATAGGCGCAAAAGTGCAACGCTTTGCAAATTCTCCAAAAAGGCGCAGAAGCGCGACAAGGCGCGCGCCGATGATTTTGCAGGAGCAAGTCCGCAGAGCGGTGGCGCTATCGCATCCGCCAGGTCGATTCCAGATAGTTTGGCCGTTCTGAGGACCAAAATGCGCCAAAAAAA